CGGATTATCACCGGGGACAAAAACGCTCCACCACCGTAGCGATGAGCCACACAACACCGCTGCACGCTAATCTGGCCCCTATTGAAAAGAGGTCAGCAGTGCACTAAGTCAGGTTCGTGAACGAAAGACAGTTATACAACACCGCACAATCTGGGCTCTGTGTACAAGGCTGTTGGCCTGGCTGAAAATACTCGGGCGTCAATGAAGGTCACCTGTCAACTTACAGTAGTGCCTAAAAATTACTTCGTGCGGCTATAAACGACCGTTAAATGGAATGATAAATTTTTGAAGGATTTTGAAAATTGGAAAAAATGATAGTCATGTCGGCCCAGCATCATCAACATTGAAAAATGCCCCGGCATGAAGTGGTTAACCAGACACTTTGCCCATATATACCTTACAGTTTCCAAGCAGTATTAGAATCTTATTCCTTCTCATGGTTCGGTTTTGTTTGTTGAAAGGAGAAAGGTTTTTCCTCGAACCTTCCTCTCTAATTCTTGGTTTTGCAATGAGAGTTTTGCTTCCAAGGCTGAAAAAGAAGTCACTTTCAATTGACCTGAAGTATACAGTTTCATTCTAATGAGCATTAGATATTTCTGTTGATACTGATTTTTTTTTACTTGTATTTTTTGTCAGCTGGCTTAGGGGGTGGTTTAGGGGCTGGAACAGGATTGGGCATTGGAAGCAACACTACTGGCATTGGAGGGTAAGACTTATTGCGCAGACTGTTCTCATCAATTACTGGGAGAGGTCTCACCTGTGCTGGACTTCTTTGTTTCCTTTGCCTGCGCCTTAGTGTTGAATGACTTGAAGTTGTCATGTTCGATAATTAACCTCAAATTTCATTTGAATTTTTAAATGTGTGATATTTTGCTCTGGGAAGTGTTGGTTCCTTGCCGAACATTCCAAGATAATGACCTGTTACATAACTAATGACTTGTTACATAACTGATGACCTTGTAACTAATGACCTGTTACATAACTGATGACCTTATAACTAATGACCTGTTACATAACTAATGACCTGTTACATAACTAATGACCTGTTATATTTCGTTTGTGTAGTGCTACAGTTGGTCTGGGAGTTCAAGATGTACAAGCTCAGCAACAACTCCTAACAATCTTCAACTCACCCTATGGAGACAATCCGCTCTTCCGGAATAGACTCACAGTGAGTAACTTGCTTTTACGATCGCTGTGATACAGTTCTTCTGTAGACGAGCCTTGACCAACAGCCCAGAACCCTGTCTGACTCTGCAGTACCTCTCACCCCAACTCTGGTGAATTTAATTGATTTTCTGCTGTTGTGTTAAACTGATTACTCTCCTTGGTCGCTTCTCTTTTAGGAATCAGACAAAAAAGAGGACATCTTGAAACCGACAAGTAAGGCAGCGCAGAAGGCATTGACCACACCCCTGCAACACAAGGTATTAATCAGTCTCTCTAAAAATTCCTTAACCACTCGCTGCCAGGTGCTTTTAAAAATGCAGTGCACACATATGGGAGATTTTCAAGATTTTCAGTTTTCTAAATTCTTCAAAAAGTCATCATTTCATTTAATGGACGTTTACACCCATATGAATGACTGTATGGTGACTACTCTAAGCTGACAGGCAACCTTCATTGACTCCTGAGTATTTCAGCCAGGCTTGCCGCCTTCTAAAGAGAGCCCAGAATTGTGAGGTGTTGCGTAATTTCCTTTGTCCCCAGTGAATGCGAGTGGCGTCTTTTCAAATGCAGCTGGATTAGCATGCAGCGGTGCTGTGTTGTTCAGCACTTTTGTCCGTGGTAATCATCCGGACGGATTACCTCCGAAAAATGCAAGCCGAAGAATGATTGCAATCCCCAGCAGCAGGTCTTTTGATCTGAGTACAGTCTTTTGTTACAAGGACTAGCTCTTCTGTCCCATTTCAGGCACCCTGGCTTGAAACGGGGTTCCCAATTAGCAAGTGGTTAAAACTGAAAGTAGTTATCCTTAAGTGGTGATACATTTAAACTCACATTTGTTTGATCCTTCAAATGGAAGTGCTTGGAACATCTTCCATTGTATGTTACTGTAACTCAGGTACATCAGCAATGTAATTCTCAGTGGGATGAGTTGGAGGCATTCGGTTAATAAGGAGAGTTCTTTGAGTTGATGCTCATGTTCATATTTTTTCTGCTGGTTTATGCTTCAGGTGTCTGCCAGACCATCTGCAAAGCTTCGACCCAAGCCGCTGCAGGGTGTCTCTCATAAGGTGGGTAACCAATCACCAAATCACTCTTTAAGTCGCCCAGGGAAGCAGTTTTTCCTGACAAGAAATCCTGACTAGATTTCAAATCCTAGCCTATGGAGAAAACAGATTTACCAGCCTTTGCTTTGAGACTGCTGCTGATGTCAAAAGTCATTAGATAAGAAAGAGTCCTGGAGTGACAAGTTTGGCATCCTCACTCAATCCACAGTGCGTGGCAGTACATGTCTACTTAGGATGGGAGAGTTAATGCTGAATTGAAATGTTGCCCGTCTTTTCAGTCAAAACTATTTGAGGGATTGGACGATGAAGACCCAACACTCAACTCGGAGATGTTCATACCTCGCAGGAGTGTCAAGAAACTCGTCATCAAGAAGAAAGAAGATGTAAGTGAAATGTCTTTTCCAAGACAGCCTTCCACCAACTTCTGCAAAAACGAGATAAATTTGAGCAAACATAACATTTGGACATTGCCTTTAGTATTAAACTCCGAGTGTGTGACAAACAGAACTTAATAACTTCTAACTGAAGCCAATGGGGTTTTTAAAATAATTTATGTTTTTGTTGCAGAAAATGGAGGCGGACCATTTGCTGAATTCTAGTCGTTCTTTAGCCCAAGAAGATGATCTCCTCTCTCCTGTGCCAACATACCCCAACGACACAACCACCAAACAGCCAATTGCCACCCAGTAAGTAAATAAATGAATGCAAAGTAAGTCATGAAGTAGGTTTTGCTGATGCGGTTAAAAGGCTAAACTGTTCAAATCTTGCAAGCATTTTTCTTCTTGCGGACTAATCATTACATATAATGTGCATCATTTACTTCAGCTTTTTATTTCTCTGTTTCAAATTGTTGTAAGTGAAAGAAAACGGGGACAATGTAATGCAGATCTTGATTGCATTTTGCAGTTGGATTTGGTGATAGCTGAATATTCAAAATTACTGAAGATGCTGATATTAGATTCGGGCAGGGCAAAAATCCGAAATTATAAGATTCTTGTTATGGTCTTTTTGCCCAAAGGGAACTATCTCCCAGCAGTAATGATGTACTTGAGACACCTGGAGGTACAAGATTGTTCTCCAAACCACAGTCATCTCAGCATAACCTGTCATCATCCAGGTAGGTGTCTTTATAGCTACCACTTGGCCTGATTTAAACACCGCCATAAAGCAACATACAGTAAACTCTCGATCACTCAAAGTCGGTTAACTTGAATCTCCAATCACCTCGAAGACATTCTCCATTCCCGCCAAGAGAATTGGCTTTAACCACTTCTTGCCGGGGACTCTGGGATCGGAGATGTATGGTTTATATGGGTAGCCGGGGTCTTCGAACTCGGACAAAGGAAACAGGGCCCTGTAACAAAAGACCGTACTCCGAACAAAAGACCAGGCTACTGGGCATTACCGGCATTTTTCACTCTCAAAAGTGGTTATAATCCAGCCTTGTTTTGAAACAGTATACCAGGGTTTGGAGCATTGAGAGCGAGCGGATTACCACCGGGGACAAAAGCGCTCCACCACCGCAGCGATGAGCAACACAGCACCGCTGCATGCTAATCTGGCCCCTATTGAAAAGAGGTCAGCAGTGCACTGAGCCAGGTTCATGAACAAAAGACAGTTATATAACACCGCACAATCTGGGCTCTNAGAAACGACCGTTAAATGGAATGATGAATTTTTGAAGGATTTTGAAAACGGAAAAAATGATAGTCATGTCGGCCCAGTATCATCAACATTGAAAAGTGCCCCGGCACGAAGTGGTTAATATACAAAAATACCTCCGTAACTCGAAATGCCCACACTGCTACATCCGCTTAACTCAAACTTTTAAGGGCCAATCCAAAAAAATTGCTGCCAAATTACTGACATTGAGTGGAAAAAGAACGTAGAGACTTTTATCATGAGTCACATCTGCAAACCACACCTCGTCTTTTTTAATGAGGACACCAACGTGCTTGCTGCCTGTGCCATTGTAATCAACTCGTTGCGTCCACAGCTTAAACAACTCCTGGCTTTCAAGCAAGCCTGATTGCCATCATAGCCCAAATGCAGCCCAGATGCACTCAGTCCAATCTTGGATTCTTTACGGTGGCCACTGACCACACTGTAGGAAGCTTTGTGCATGCTGTGGCCAAAGTTTGGCTGCCGCTGCCTACCCAATTGCAGCACTTGGGTGCTGTGCTCATATGCTGACTGACATGCGTTCCCAGCGTGGTGCTGGACATGCTGTTTTGCATTGCCAAATTCTACTCAAAGCTTTTAAAAAGGAAAGTTAAGGGAATGGAAAAACAAAGAAAAGCACACAAATATTTAATTTTTTTTTTTTACACTTGAACGTTTTGAACTGCAAAATGGTGTGCCCTCAAGCGATTAAAAAGGAATGATAATGTGGCCAAACAGGAAAACCCTGGGCCTGGCCCTGGCCAAGTGAGCGAGCACACGGCTGTGCGCTTTGTGCCTCGGTGTGCGCCAAACAGAAGAATTTTCACAAAAAATACACAGCTTTGGTGGTTTATGTTTCATTTTTAGTAGAATATAAGATTTTACATAAGAAACACGTGAAATCTCAGCAAACTAATGAGTTTTGGAAGAAAGTTATTCTAGGATATAAGGAAAGAACCACTTATAACGTCTCCAGTAGCCACTGCTGGGGCAAGTAAGTTACATGGGTAAGACCCAGAAATTTTGTTAGCTTGAAATTCGGATAACTAATTTATTAGCCATTCCCCTGAGGTTCGAGTTATTGAGAGTTTAATGTATGTGAGAGATGATAAAGTGGACGGCAATGCTGTACTCTGTTCTTATCTCCAACAGTTCTAAGAAGCAGGAAGATCCTGACTGTACCATCACGGACCTCAACGTCAAAGCCAAGACTCCCAGCAAGCTCAACACTAGTGACATGTCCTCCACTGCCAGTGACCTTGACCAATCAGCATCCCTCGCTGATGGAATTGCTGTCGATGAAAACCAGGAGAACACCCCACCTCCCCACCCAGGGGGCGTGGTCTTGCAGCGGGCAGGGTACTACACCATCCCTTCCATGGATGAGCTAGAAGACATGGTAGAGATTGCAGAAGATGGTGAAGTGCGCTTATATGTTGAGGATCTAACTATTGGGCGGGTGGGGTATGGTAGTGTGTTCTTCCCTGGAGTGACTAACCTAGCAAACATGAACTTGGATGAAATTGGTAAGTTCCTACTTTGTTTTTAATTTAAGGTATTTTCCTCATAGCTGGTGAAGTTTAATAAGTATTTTGTATTTTCAATTCATTTCTTCTTTGTTCCACTTTTCTGCACAGTTCATTTTCGTCGTAAAGAGATCACCGTTTATCCAGACGATACCCACAAGCCATCAGTTGGTGAAAGACTGAATAAGAAGGCTGAGGTGACATTAGATCGTACCTGGCCGACTGACAAAACGACCCGTAAACCCATCACAGTAAGTCACTTGGATCAAATTTTCCGTGGCAAGTCTTTCATTTACTGCTGAGTCAAGGATTTACCTCCCTTGGGCCTGTGTGTTCCTAATTATCTCCAGGAATTCTCGCAAACCTTTTCAAGGTGTGGTGTTTCCTTCTTTCCTCTTTCAGGATGTGGAGCGTTTGATTACCTTAAATTATGAGGACAAGCTAGAGAAAGCAACAGCAAAACTTGGCGCCAAGTTCATTGAATACCGGCCAGAAACTGGCTCGTGGGTTTTCCAGGTTTGTAGATGTAAAAGTTTCAATTAAAAAGTTCAAAAGTTGTCTTACATGCAATAGAAAGAATATTTATCGATTTTTGTTTTTTTGTTTTAGAATGATAAAGGAAAGGCGGATGTTTTTACTCCAACCTGTATAAAATTCTATGCAAAATGGACAAATGACTTACTCTATGCAGTAAAAGTTCATTCCCAGGTTGCTCAAAGGATGAAACCACATGTTTGCTTTATTCTGTGAAGAACTTTCTCCCAAGTCATAAGTAAACCAACTTTTAATCGCATTCTATGCATTTAGTTAATTTCACATACAAAAGTAACTTGTCCTGCATCAATTAACATCCGCTAACAGTAGATACTTCTTGTTGATTTCAAGATTTCCTGTTTCATGTCACCATAGGTGCAGCATTTTTCGAAGTATGGACTGTCAGACAGTGATGAAGAAGATGAAGTGCCAGATAAAGATGCCAAGAAGCAACTACCTCAACAGGTAGGTACAAGCAGAGGGAAATACTGGTGAATGTTGTGCATACTTTGTGTTGCCATTTAAGTAGTTATTACGGATAGTTAAATATTTTCACTGGAGGTGACGTGCTCTATGAAAATGACGCGGAAGTTGCCAGGGCCACTGTTGAGTAACGAGCCTTAGATCCTTTGCCATTGTTGAGTAACAAGCCTTAGACACCGCCGTAGCCGCTGTTGAGTAACAAGCCTTAGATCCTTAGCCATTGTTGAGTAACAAGCCTTAGATCCTTAGCCATTATTGAGTAACACACCTTAGACACAGCCCTACCCTATGGAAATCAATAGGAACCTTTAATATCTTTCACTCACACAGTGTCCATTTTATCAGGATGCCAAACTGAGTGATGCATCAAGAGCTAAACATTCTTTGTGTAATGTAAACTGAAACACAAATAACTGAAAAATGGCCTTGTGACTCATTTCAGATAGTGGGTCACATTTGGATGTGCAAACAAGTAGTGTCACTTTGACTTGTAACTGTACAAAAACATTGCAATTGGAAAAGGGGCAACCTCTTTGTTGAAATGTTTTGGATTCACAGAAACCTTCACAGAAAGCAACAGCAGCAGATAAACTTCCAACCAAGCAGCCTGCTTCCAAACAGCCTTCATTAAAGGCTCCCTCTGGTGGTAGACAGCAAGCCAAGGAGGCCTTCCCTTCCCAGCAGGAGGAAGAACCAATGAGAGACGACATTGACATGGAGATGATGCGAGACTCGCCAATCAGAGGCTTAGGAGGGTACTCCCCTAAACCTTACCTGAATGGTCACCTTGGTGATGAGGTCGAAGGTCAGGAAGCCCAGCTGTTGAATGTCCAAGGGGATGAGGAGGGTGAGGAGGAAGCTGTTGCCTCCTCCCACCGGCTTGCCAATGTCCTTGGGATGAACACCCATCGCATGCAGGTCATGAAAGGCTCTTTCTTTGCCGATGAGGAGCCAGTGGAATATGACTACAGTAAGAACGTTATTGCTCTTTTATTTTATTGATTGGTTTTATCTTACCAGCAGAGGGCGCTATCCAGTGTTTGACAGTATAATGTAACTTGTACATTATTGTTGATTGTAACTAGTGTGTTCCATTCACAGCATTATCCATTGCATTATTGGGTATTATTTTCATTGTCGTCTGTTATTATTAGCTCTGCTGTTTTGTCCTTGTCTTTACGGGTAGTACTGGTTATTGTATTTGCAAAGACTGAGAAAAACTTTACAATGTAATAAATATTGACCATCCTTTACTGTTGGTGGAATCCTTGTTGAATTACGTGACGTTTCTCAGCCATTATCAGGATAACATTAAACTTTCTGAATCATTGATACAGTTGGAAAGTGCTTTTGTTTTGCTCCATTTAGGGTTGAGATCAGCCCCTGTCCCTCAGACAAGACCTTCCTTCTTTGACTCTCCATCTAGAGGCTCCCCTGCACCCAAAATGGAAGATTCCTTCCAGGAAAGAGGTAGCATATCCCTACTTCAGTATTGTACAGTTGTAAAATATCTTTAACAAGATGATTCTGTTGGCTTTAACATAAGGAACACAACTCATGGAAATGAAGCACTTTGTAAAAAAAATTACTTTATGATGATTAATGATGAAAAATATCACAGGATCACTCAAAACGTTGTCGACTTCTTTTCCTAATTGTGTAGTATTTATTTATTGCATAGTAATTTTAATGGAAGTGGTAACAGATTTTAAATGCTGTCATTTTTACACCATTGGGGCATTCAGGTTCTATCAGTATTAGACTTGAAATTAACTTGTGAAATTCTCCAGGAAACATTTCATAACATCTTGTATTGCTACATGCACAGGATTGAACAAAAGCATGGGAGGTGGAGTTTGGAGGCCCCGCCCCTTAGGAAGTCCTGCCAAGTACTTGGCAGGCATGACGGATCCATCAGATGTTAAAGGAAGTCCTGTCCCTATCACTATCAAGGAAGAGATGGTGAATCGGAGAGATTACTTTATGTCTAGTAAGTCAATCACGTACAGCTTTTTTATTGGCTTGGATTTTTTATGAATTCTTTGAAATTATGGTCACTTGTTTTATCATTATATTTCATTTCAACATGAGTGTGCTAAGAATTTTTTATGTTCAGTGTGACTTTTATGTCATAAAGGAATTCAGGACACTTTTTTGCAGTGGCAGTGGTGGAAATTCCTGAGAATTCATTCTTAGGGATTATATGATCAAGTAGTGATTAGGGAGTAGGGATGTTACAACTCAGTTGTATTTAAAAGTGTCACTGTTTTTAGATTGGTCATGTGGAAAAAGCCTAGATGTTTGTTTTGTATGTTCCCTTTCATCTTGTTTTTGACATATTTTGGATTGTATCAGGGAATCAAATAATCTTTTTTTCACTGTATCAGGTCACTTTGCAGCCCCCAAGACTCTTCCCCCACCCTTTGCTGGACCTCAACCCCTCCACATCTCAAGTGGTATGACCCAAGACAGACCTCCTCGATTGGTTGGATCTCGCCCCCAGCAGACAATCCTACCCCTCAACCAATCAGTGGTGGCTGGTAAGGTGCCGTGCCTGGCAGATGCTGGACTTGTCATGAGTAGGTCATTCCGCGTAGGCTGGGGACCCAACTGGACCCTGGTGCATTCTGGGAAGGCAGTTGGACAGCGTATGACTGTCCCTGGTAAGCCTTTAAATGAAGAAGGAAGTCATTCAGTGTAATAGGAGGTTAAGAGCTGCACTTTTTTGTCACATGAAAGATTATTGTGCAATTAAATGAAAGGTTTTGAAGCTTATCAACTTTGGATGAAAAGTTTTTGGAATGTGAAACAAAGGCCAGGTCATACTTGAACAAATGTAACAGCCAGAGAATTTCATTTGTCATCCGTAGTTTCACCTGTCTTTTACCCTGATGCTGTTTTTTTTTACACTATCTATTTGTAATACTGTGGACTAAACCTTTTTAAATTTGTACAACTTCTCTCCAGAGCTCTATCATTTTGTTTCTCTTACCAGACATCAAGAAGGAAGCAATAACATTTCCGCTGCTAACCACCAAGCAACCTACCAAGTCCACCCTGGATGCTTCCCCATTCACTCTGACCTTGGAGAAGGTCAATCTAGCTCCTCATCTCCTGGCTGCAGACAACAAAGTCTTGGTGAGTGGGGGATAGAATCTGGCAATGTCCTAGTTTGTTCTCTTTGTACATGTGTCTAACAAAATGCTTCATGAATTATGAACCAACTTCTAAATGTGTTGTGGCTTTGATAAAACCCCAGAAATGTACAATTGATGCCAGACAGAGAAAAGGATCAAATGGAGTGTATTTGTTTTTAGAATGAGTGACAGTTAGTTGCATTTTCATCTGAGCAGCATTGATGACGTAAGTGCTTTTGTTCATTCAAGAATGTAAAAGTTGACATCAATTTCTACTGAGAAGGTTGACCCTTTTATCTGTAGGATCTCCATGAGCGTTCCTTGGATGTCCAGCTTCGTCACAGCCGTAGCTCATCTCAGCAGTCTTGCCCTGTCTTTGCCCCCCAACGAGGTGTGGATTGCCTACATCACTATGCCAAGACAGCTCTGAGAGATGTCCAGGATGAATTGACTGCAGACCTGGACACCTTGAATCACAGCTTGTTGGTGTGGAAGCTCCTGGTAGCACTGTGGGGAAGATTACCTCACCAAGATGCGCAGGGTAAGCCAAGAAAAAGAGTATTAACAGTCATGGCATTCTGGCTAATTAAACTTGGTATGTTTTCTGGATGACAATATTTCTCTTGGTGATCTCGACCATCACTCAGATGTTGTGTGTAGAGTTTGGCAGATCATTGTTTTTCCTGAGAATTTTTGAAATAACTTGTGAAATCAAGAGTAGCTTCTGTTGAGTGCTGTGACCCTTGCTACAAGGCTTGGGGTTGCAACAAGGCTTGGGGTTGCAACAATACTTGGGTTTGCAACAAAGCTTTGGGTTGCAACAAGGCTTGGGGTTGCAACAAGGCTTGGGGTTGCAACAATACTTGGGTTTGCAACAAGGCTTGGGGTTGCAACAAGGCTTTGGGTTGCAACAATACTTGGGTTTGCAACAAGGCTTGGGGTTGCAACAAGGCTTGGGGTTGCAACAAGGCTTGGGGTTGCAACAAGGCTTAGGGTTGCAACAAGGCTTGGGGTTGCAACAAGGCTTAGGGTTGCAACAAGGCTTAGGGTTGCAACAAGGCTTAGGGTTGCAACAATGCTTTGGGTTGCTCCTCATCCAGTCCTTTTCGTGGACTATTTAATTGTTTTGAAGAACAGCATGCAGTCCTGAGATGGGCTTTTGTCTTGCATTTTCTGATGTGATGTCATGAGCCAGGTTAACTGTTACCATGTCGTTGCGTTGATTGGATTGCAGAGTTAGACCCAGATGGTTATCCCTTCCGTAAGGCACGACGTGAAGCTTTCTCTGAGTGGTTAGCCTCCGCTTCAAGGCAACATGTCAACAGAGAGGTGGAGGATGCCAAGTTTAAGGTAACTGGGTCAGAAATGCTGAAAGAAATCTGAACTGGCTGGTTCATATCAAGTTGTAAATTCACATGCAGAGAAGGTGTTGAATTTGTTGATGTCACTATGAACAAACAAGATTTAATTTGAATAAATAACAAAGTTGTCAAGGCAGCCCAGTGTGCATCGGTCATTTATGGAGCAACTTTGTGGATTTTAACAATTAATTTACTTTTGTTTCATTTGCTTTGGTTGAGTATTAAAAAAGGTCCATTTTTCTTTCCAATGTTCAGGATATGGGACACATTGAAGCTGTGTTCTCACTTCTTACTGGCTGGCAAATCAGCGAGGCTTGTGCAGAAGCCCAGAGGTCAGGTGACCACAGGCTGGCTCTTCTGTTGGCCCAAGCTGGCAGTAACGAAGAAGGCAAGCAACTGGTTGCCAAGCAACTCAGTGATTGGAAAGAAATGGGGGTAGGTGAAGTCTTTTCTAGTCATGTCAGTGTGGCAGTGCCATGTTCTTTCTTGATTTGCAAGTGTGGTCTCTAGGGTTTGTAATTTATTTAGAGGGGCAAAGAGTACTTCCCACAAATTGAAAAAAAATCAATTCAGGTGCTGGAGTTTGACTCTTTGTGATGAAGGTTGATATTAAATTTCACCAGAGCTTTCTTCAAAGCCTTTTGTGGAACTTTGATTTAACCACTTACTGCCGGGTATAATTTGAAGTTGCATGACATAAAACTGGGTGATTTTCAAGATTTTTTCATTTTCAAAATTCTTTAAAAATCCTAGCTTCATTTACTGGACGTTTACACCCACACAAATGCCTGTCTGGTGGCTTTTGTCCTCGGTGGTAATCTGCTCGTGCTGAATGCCACAAATAGTGGTATAATCTCTCAAAACAGTGATGGATTTCCTCTGCTATTGACAACAGAAACAATGTTGGCAATTCCCAGCAGTTCAGTCTTTTGTTTAGAATATAGTCTTTTGTTACAAGGCCCAGTTCTTTTGTCCAGTTTCGGACTCCACAGTTTTGTGTATAAAGCCTATGTGCCCGAAACCGGACTCCCCAGCAGGAAAGGGTTAAAGGGACAAAAATCACCATTTTGAGCCATGAATTGTACAGTTTGTCCAAGGGGGCTAATCCCTTAGATTCTTAATTAGGGGTTTTGCCCTTACACCTTACGTGCATAGCACTGTATACTCATGTTTGTGTAACAGCTTGTAGGAAAATTCACAAGCTTTCTCAGATAGGACTCGAACCCACGATCTAGTGCAGACATACTTACCACTCAGCCACCGAGGTTGGCTGGCTGGTCTGCGTCAGATGTAGCAGCAGGTACCACAAACTGTTTTCAAGATGTACTGGGTGCCGGGGAGATACTGCTGGGGGATGGTGGTCTGTAGGCCCGCTGAATGCATCACTGCACTTGGCAACACATCATCCTCTTTTTGAAGATTTTCTCTGTCTCATTCTGGATCGTTATTTCAGGTTGACAAATTTATAGCACCAGAGTACCTGCGTGTGTATGCCCTGCTTGCTGGCATGCTAGTTTGGCCATCAGCATATGGTGTAATTAACACCTGCCAAGGGTTAGACTGGAAGAGAGCGCTTGCTGTCCACCTCTGGTGAGTTACAGAAGAACTTCACATTCTCTCTGAATTTGTATTGAATATATTCAGATTGCAGTAATGTTAAACACAACTTGGAGAAGAATGTCAAGCTACACATTGCAACATAGAACAACCCATAATTGCTGAATCTGTAGGGTTTAACCTCCAGATGCCATTGGATGTTGGAAGACTTGTATATTTATTTGTTATTCTTAACTATGTTGTTAAAGTGAGGCAAATTTAGTATGTAATTGAAGTTACTAAAGTCTGAACTTTCACCAAATGACCTGTATAGAATTTAGCAGGATTATGTAATAGAAGGGACATTCTTGGTTCAATTTTTGTCACTTCTTTGGTTCCACATTCAGGCATTCCTGCAGTCCAGTTGCTTCCATCTCCGATGCCTTGAAGGAGTTTGAGACAGGATTTCTGGGTCAGTCCACCCTCCAGCATTATTGCCCCGTGCCCCGCCCCCCGTACATGGAGAACAACCCTGATATGTACCCAGAGAAGCGATGTGATGAGATAGGGGCGGAGTTAGTAGAGGAGGTGGCAGAGGATGGAGACGAGAGATTTGTCGTCTTAGACATGTGTTTCCATCTGGTGAAGCTTTACACTGATCGCTCACATCGTTTAGAGAGAGTGTTAGCACCAACGACTCACACAGGATATCATCTGGACTACAGACTCAGGTGAGTAATAGTCAAATCCAAATACATTGTAGAGAGTTTGGTAGCTTGGTTCTTAGTTAACATGTTTTTCCTCTCTTTGTTCTCAGCTGGCATGTATTACAAGCTGTACAAGCCCTAGGATTCAGTCATCTATCTGATCAGGACTTAGCTCATCTACACACTAGCTATGCCTCTCAACTAGAAGCGCTTGGACTCTGGCATTGGGCAGCATTTGTCCTTTTACACATCCAGGATGACTTCAGGTAAGTGGAAAACTGGTCTGTCTTGTAATGCTGAAGACTTCTCTGTCTTCTCGCATCCAATTAAGCCGGCCAGTGTACATCTGATGACTTTGTACTCTGGTGGTGTAGTGATGCGTACAGTAACAGCCAGGCTTGGTTGGCAATTCTCTGTCTTGTTGCATCAAGGCGGAGATGATCCAAATAAGTCACAAATTGCAGACGTGTAGTTTCAAAATGCTGCGTTGGTTACACATGGGCTTAGAAAACACACCGTCAGATTCTTGCAAGATGGATCAAATTTGATGATTTCCATCGTAATTGCTGCAGGCGTGAGGATGTGGTACGACAACTTCTTCAGCGCCAATGTTTATTGAAAAGGAGTGAAGAGAATGCAGCAAAGGAACGTTTCCTAGTCAACCAACTCCACATTCCTCCCAAGTGGATCTTTGAGGCAAAGGTGAGTATTGTTTTTCTTTGACAAATTTAAAATATTTTCCAACGTTTAATTTGGGACAGTTTTTGGTTAAGTTTGTCACTACTGCAGAATTCACGATGGTTCTCAACACGGATACCTGAGGGTGTGAGGTTTTAAAACTGCCCTTTTTTGGACAGGCTTTGCGAGCTCAGTATGAGGACCGTGCCCCAGAGCAGGCATGGCATCTCCTTCAAGCGGGTCACTGGAATGACTGTCACTCTGTCATTGTCAAACACCTAGCGGCTGATGCCATCATCAGTGGTAAGTCAGATAACTTGTCTCTCCACAGCCCGAGGCACATTAATGTGCTCTGTTGATTCCCCCTTTGGACATTTACAATATGGGACATTCACTTTGAATCTGTTTTGACAGAGCCTGCTTAAATTTTTGAGATCTCTCAACATTTACAGACTTTGAACTGCAAAAAGTCTAGCATTATGGCCACTCTCAACATTATCTGATCAGTTCCAGGAACAGTTGCTTTTACCTTGACTCTACAATCTCCAACTGCCGACAGTGTTTAACATACCTTTTTCCATAAATTTTCAAAGCTTGTAATGAATAAAAATTGGATTCAAGAACTAGTTCACAAAGTTATAAAATCTGTCCATAAGCAGCTAAGAGCAAAATACATTTTTACATGTATGTCACTGTTATTCAGAACAAAAGCCTTGCATTTTTTTCAACCCCAAACTAAGCATGTTGTGAAGTGGACAAATTTATAGTTAGTTTTATAGTTTAAATTTATAGTTTAGTTATAGTTAAAATACACAGCCCCAGTTACATTTTTGTACTTGCCTTGTCATCTTAACACTGATTAACCAATTGAAAATTTTTCTCTTGCAGAGAATTACAACTACTTGCTAGGTCTTCTCAAGGAACTTGTTCCCTCAGAGCGATCTATCACAATCCAGGATTGGACCACTAATGGGCAAGTCTTCCTGGATTTCATCAATATTGTACAGGTAAAGACAAAAACAGCCGAGAAATATGGCGTTGGACGGCAATTTAACATTTACATTTAGTTAATATAACAGTTTATAGTAATCTTGTGAAGAAACAAGAGGACACATGGATATCTGTGGTTAAACTGGACATGTGTAAGACCTGTTTATATTTTCAGCACATTATTTCGGCATATTGACTTCGAAATCTCTTTGTACTTCATGCGTTTCTTTGCAGAGGTTGGACCATCTGCAGCACACTGAACCAACCGTCTATGAACTGGAAAAACTGTACCCAGATGTTGCTTCGCTTTGTAGCCGTGTCGGTAGTGTGACTTGTCGAACTGCGAAGGATCGTCTTTGTCAATCAGAGATGGCTAAAAGGACAGCTAATGTCATGAAGGCAGTGTTGACTCTGCAGGTATAAAGCCAAGATATTTGATGAAGACGAGTTATGGCAGATCTTGAAAGTTTGATATAAGATTCTTGAATGCAGAAGGTTTACAAGCAATACACATTGAGTGATTACGGTGGAGCTGACAACATCCTGAACAGCTTGGATTGGAATTGAACCCACGAAGTGTTAACTCTTACACACATATTGAACAAATCTGCTGCAGGCTTTTGAGAAATTACGAGTACAACCTGAATCTAGAAAATCGAGTTTTCCAAGTTAAAAAAATTCTGATAGGTGTTCCATACATGTGCAGTAAAACAAATTTTATGCTGATTTATATTTACAGGGGTTTTGAGCTATTGTGTGTTTAATATTTTGTACTTTAACCTATCAACTTTCAAAATTAGTCTGCAAGTGTTTGTCTATTTATTGTTTTATTTGTTATTTATTGTTGATTCTTTGTTGATCATTCATTGCAGCAACAGTCTTTGCATCCAGACAAGTCAGTCCGCCTACCATCTCGGTTACTGGCACCCCACGTCGGTAAGCTGCCCATGCCAGAAGATTACGGTCTGCAGGAACTAAGAGAACTCACTCGTAGCTACATGGTAGAGCTCACTGCATGAACTTTCAAAACAACACTTCATTCTGTTACAGTTGGGCAGCGGGTAATGGAAATTCAAAAGTAATACAGTTGGGCAGCGGGTAATGGAAATTCAAAAGATCGAGAATAGTCTTGACTTGTAAGTATGAATAGTCAATAACACTGAGTGTAGTTCATCAATCCAATCTGTGCTTAGCTGTGGAGGATGGGATGAGAAGTGGTTGATGTTACCACTGATATCAAAGTGATTGATTGCATGTGCAAACTGAGTGAAACGAGAGAGCAAGGTGTATTGAAGTGTATGGCAATGGTTTCTTTTGTGGAACATTCAAAATGGAAACATGGTTGGCAGAAAACAGCACTGAAGTACAGAAATTAAACATGGTTGGCAGAAAACAGCACTGAAGTACAGAAATTAAACATGGTTGGCAGAAAACAGCACTGAAGTACAGAAATTAAACATGGTTGGCAGAAAACAGCACTGAAGTACAGAAATTTATGCATTATCATCACTAGGCCCAAAAGAATTGAAAACGTTATACTAACCACTTCCTGCCGGGGCATTTATCAATGATGATGATGCTGGGGTGGGATATTTATCCTTTTTTTCTGTTTTCAAAATTTTTTTAAATTCCTGTCTTCATTTACTGGACACTACAAACACGTGAGGGCATGTCTGGTGTCCACTCTAGCCAGACAGACAAAATCTATTGACGCCTGAGTATTTCAGCCAGGCCTGCAGCCTTGTAAAAAGAGCCCAGATTTTGTGGTGTTACGTAATATTCTTTTGTTCATGAACCTGGCTTAGTGCACTGCTGACCTCTTTTCAATAGGGGCCAGATTAGCGTGCAGCGGTGCTGTGTGGCCCATCGCTGCGGTGGTGGAGTGCTTTTGTCCCCCGTGGTAATCTGCTGGCTCTAAATACCCCAATCCGTGGTATATGGTTTCAAAATAACGCTGGATTATCTCGACTTCTGAGAGTGAAAAAATGTAATGCCCAGCAGCCTGGTCTTTTGTTCGGAGTACGGTCTTTTGTTACAAGGCCCTGTTCCCTTTGTCCGAGTTTGGAGACCCTGGCCACCCATATAAACCATACGTCTCCGATCCCGGAGTCCCGGCAGGAAGTGGTTAATATAATGATCTCTGCAATGACAGTCAACCGCATAGAACAAACTGAGTCAGAATGCATTTGAACTTTGCCAAGCTGGTGTCACACACTTGATGAGCCCTATTATGGTTGTTAACCACTTGCTGCCGGGTGGATTTTTCTTGAGCAAGACAAGATGCTGGGTCCTTTTCAAGATTTTCCGTTTTCAAAATTCATCATTTCATTTAATGGCCGTTTATACCAACATGAAGGACTCTTTGGGCACTTCTCTAAAGCTGACAGGTAAAATTCATTTCAGCCAGGCTGCAACCTTGGAAAAGGAGCCCAGATTGTGCGGTGTTATGTAAGATTCTTTTATTCCCGAAACCGGCACAATGCACTACTGACCTCTTTTCAATTAGAAATTAGCGTGCAGTGGTGCTGTGTGGCTCATCGCTGCGGTGGTGGAGAGCTTTTGTCCCCAGTGGTATTCCGCTCGCTCTAAATGCCTCAAACCATGGTATACTGTTTCAAAACAAGGCTGGATTATCTCCACTATTGAGAGAGCGTGATGTCGGTAATGCCCAGCAGCTCAGTCCCCTGTGCTGAGCAAGGTCTTTTGTTATAAGGCCCAACTCTTTTGTCTCAGTTCGGGGCTCCCCGGCTCTGCATATAAAGCCTATGTACTCGAAAATGGATCGCCTGGCAGGGAGTGGTCAAACACATAATGTAGCTAACCAGATTTTGAAACCCCTCTAAAATAGTAAAGAATGCCCAGTGATAAGTTTCTTCAAAATCAGACCCCTTTGGACTTTGACAGTGTGTCTGCCTGACACAGCCATGCAGCCCTTTTGTCAGAACGCACACGCTGAAGTAAGCCAAGACACCTTGCAGGTCTGAATACTTTTGCTATTTGGTAAGTGATGTAGACATTGTTGCTATTAGATGCCAGCTCCTATTTGACTTTGGCTAGCAAGAGTGAGGGGTTACGAAAAGAACAAAATTAATGCAGCTCCAGCTAAAAGAAATACACGAGTGGGGGTGAGTCTCGGCAAGTGTGGAACGTGAAGGCGATCAGAAAATTCTGTACCTTCTTGGCAGGCAGAGGAAATGGAAAGGATAACGAGCGTCTCCTGATGTCGAGAATGCACTCAGGTGACACAAGTGGCTACAAGGAGGAGGGCAGAGGTGATAAGCACACGTGAGTAATCACTGCACACCACACATCTTGTGATGGGCAATACACGATCACCTTGAAGTGGCTTAAATCTGGCTGCTCACAACACACCTGCTTGTAACGTCAGTTAAATCAAAAAGCTCCTTCCATAGAGATAGAACAATGACTAAAGATCCTGAAACTCCACTCCTAATGGAGTGGCGAATGGCAATGTAAACCTAAAATGAGCAACTGGCCTCAAATGACACTTTGGAGTGACATCTTTTAAACCAATCACCTCAAGTAGTTTCCCTGGTCCAACCAGCGTCTTCTACAAGTAACGACTTCTGTAGGTCTATTCAAAAAAGAACCTTTACAAATCCTGCCGATGTGAAAGTGTCAAAAAAATTGAAGGGCACCTGAATATATAACAGTTCTCCTAACTGACCCCAAATATCTCTGTTTCGTATTTCAGCCTACCTCTGTTTGCCCCAGGGTTGAGGGTGGGGCTGTTCCGGACACACTACTGGTACCACCATCTGGTTTTCGTGGTGAGTCCATTGCACCTGGCTCAGGTCCATCAACAGCCGCTAATCCCTGCAATTCCTCCACCAGCATGGACGCAGTGTGGCGAAGGGGCTTGTCTTCCATCGGAGCCACTGCAGGAGGTGGGGTGGTGGTCAGGCGATCCTCAGCGATGGAATGCCGTAGCATGCGCTTCTTCAGAGGTGTCATGAGGTCTACATGCACATTAATGAAACATACATGACAGCAAAGTAAACAAAGTTGGAATGTTGAGAGAATAATCTCAGACAATCAATAATACATAAACTTCAAAACATTTCATGAGCTGTTGTACACTTAAATTTTTATTTTTAATTTAATAGACTTCCATCATTCCATGTGTATCAATACAAACATTAATTAGGTAAGTAATATACACCTTATACAGCATTTCAATTGAAAAGTAGCGGTGCATCTATCTCCCATGCAATTTAAGAAAAAAAACAACTATAACATGCATGCTACCAATTCTTTTTAAGATCAGGAAAGCAAATGAATCTAAATATAAAAACAAAATCATTACCATCAAGGAAAGCATTCACCTTCACAGGATCTCTAGAACATGTCGTATTTTTCAATGAAACAAAAATGGGGTCAAAGAGAAAATGTTAACTGTACCATTTGTGGCACTGGTGTTGGGTGAGAGGGCCGGACTGACAGGATAGCTGGCAGGATTCGGACTTAATGTTCCATTGCAGACGGGTGATTCTGAACCGCTGCTGGTTTGGGCCTTGGACCCAGGTCCACTTCCCTCACTCATGGCCTGTCGAAGCCACCTCTACAAAAGGCCAAGCACGGGAACAAAAACAATAATTTTTAGAATTGCTTGTCTCTTGAATGTGTAAACCAAGAGGTTTTCTGATACAACCATGGCCAAGGTCATCACATGTAAAGAAAGGGACGTATTGGCCTTCATTAGAATCACATTGATTTTAAAGTTCTCTATATCTCAGCACCACAAGTAAGAGACACCTTGAGTCTTCAATTAACCCTCCTTTGGTTTAACAGCACAAATATGCACAAGTGCCCAAGGTCACTCTCTTGCATGTTGGTGCAGTGCACAACTCAGCTGTGCTTCTTAGAGGTGTTTACCAAGTGACCCAAAGAGTGACTTCAGCACAGGAGGGTTAAGTGTATTTTCAGTGACTTTTTATCAACCCTGACTGCGCTCAAAATATTTATGTGAATTAAAATTTAATAGGTGTAACAAAATTTTGCTACACGTGGAATGGTATGATGCAATATCGTTACGATTTACCTGAAAATGAGGAACAAACCTTTTTGGCTGAACCAAAGGTAGCTTCCGGATTGCCCTTTGCCTCCTTGGTGCCCAGGTTCAACAAGGGACCAGTCTTGGACAACTGCAAGGAGGAGCTGGGTGAGGAGTGGCCAGCTGCCATCATGTCCGCTGGTTCCGTCTTGATGGTCAGTGGCTTGTTGGCTGAAGCCTCCTGGGCCTTCTCATTCAACCACTCATTCATAAAGAACTGTAGGATGGAGAGAAAGGTAACCAAAGTTTATAGAAAAGCCAACACATAATCACGTATGCTAACACTGGGAACTCAAGACACCTTTTTTCAGCCACTGGACAAGCCACTAGAAACGCAGTGCATATGCAGAGAATGGGTTTGGAACAAATAGCCATTAAAAGTCTGAGTTGGGCAATGACAAGGTTATAATTAAATACTCAATCCCAACGAGTACACGCACTATGGTTCAAGTTGTCTAACGGTCTTTAAGATCAGTGAACACATAGACCTCTAGAACATGTTTCGTAGATCTACATGTTTATTAGTAGTCTGATTCCCATTCATTTGGGGCATCAGGGAATTGTCCGGTCCAGGAACCAGACCTACTTATGGGGGGTGAGCAAACTTCCCAAACATTGTGAACTGGGTCAGATACTTTTCCAATTTGTTTATCTTCCAAAAAACAAACCATCTATGATTTTTAGACCTTTGAAAACTCAAATATGGGAGTAGTTGACGGGCATTTATCATAAAAAACCAACAAAATAGCTGAAAAGGAAACTGGCTACAACCTATTAGTCAATATTTTAAATATTTTTTAGTATTGTACAAATGTTTTTCTTTTTTGTGAGGACACCAATGGAAATAGGCTGTTTGTTACAGCTTTCTTGGGCTATCCTTGGCTTCTGTCTTTTACTATTCTTAGTATTTTTGTGTTTTTTGTACTATGACTGTTATTTTAAATTGTTTTTTTGCCAGAATAACAAAATAAATGAATAAATAAAATCACTGACCTAATCGACAAGGCGTTTTCGCTTGAAACCTTGTTTGAATCTTCCAATATCTACAGCTGTTTAGAAGCTCTATGTATATCTTTTTTGATCTCTAATTTCCACGAGGCAGAGTCACTTGTGACGCAAAAGAAGCTTTGCTGTGTTCTTAAATCCAGACAACCATAAACAACCTCCTGATGGATTTTGAAGGATCTTTGACGGTTAATAGCTATAAAGGATGCAAAATCCCTGGAAGCACATGCTGTCTGCAAACACTGCTTTATTTGAATGATAGGAATGGACACCTAGATGTAGCTGGGAAAAAAAAGAAGATAACACTAAAGTGGCACTGGTTAATGAATAAGCCAGGTCAAATATCAGGCCAATCTCCAAATCCTCCAGTAGTATCTTGGAATAGGTAAGAGTTTACCACTGAAGCATGTTTAGAAATTGAGGGCGACAGAAAACTTTCCAAACTGCCAACTACTGATCACCTTTTTGGTCTTTGGAAACTTGAAGTGCTTGCTGCAGGCTGGAACAGGGGACGCCATTCCCTGCTGATCGGCACCTTGGCTTGGACTGAATACTGTCTGTATGAGCAACGGGGCTTGACTGGATGGCAATGACACTGCAGGGAGGCTGGCAGACTGTGGCCCGGTGGAAGGATTAGACTCCTCATCATGAGATGAAAAGTCAACTGAGACGGTCGATGCACCGCTGTTGACGCGACTTCGCCGTCTGGCACCTTTCCTTTTGCGGCTGTAAAACAAGAGCACAGAAACCTTGCAAGGGTCAAATAAAAAACCACCAGCACTCTATTATGGCATCCACTTAGACTCATTTTCTCTTGGCGTTAGGGTTTATGATTAAAGGAAATTACAGTATACTTGATATACCCTTAGGACATGAAATAGAACTTTTGCGTACCTATGAATGCATAGGAAACACTTTCCAGGCTATTTCACAGAATGTCAACTGTTCTAAAGGCTGGTTCACACGATAGGCGAACGTAAAAGCGAAGCACATTTGACATCACGAAAGACTTGCTGCAAACTTTGCTCCAGTTGAAATGTGTTCAACTTTTGCAAATTCACCGCTAGAATATTTGATCTGACTACACAAATTCAAGTTTGCGCTGGCAGTATGAACTAGCCTTTATATTGATGTTTTCCCAGCACCAAATTACAGGGGACGCAATGCTTGTGATTTGCTGAGGACACCTACCCTTTAAAGGTTTTAGGTCTGGTGATGACTGCAGGTGTAGTAACAGACGACGTGGTCACTGTGGATGCAGAAGACACAGGTGCAGCACTAAGGATACTGGAAGAATCTATCTCTGTAACCTCCACTGACGGTGCTTCATCTGGCATTGCACCTGGAAGTGAGTCCTGGAATGCAACAGGTGCAATAATAAGCATCAAAGTATCCAATGAGCACTCCTCTTCAAGCTCCTTACATGTGTCTCTTTGAACAGTTGCATTTCATCACACAAAATCCAAGATATAGTCATTGATGTGTTGCAAAATAAAGGCAATGGCCTGAACAGTTTACTAATTCTTTTTTCCTGGTTGCGTTCAGACATCTCTGTGGTATAGAATACTTACTCGTGAGATCTTTTGACCCTCATTTTAACACTATGGATCACTCAACATTAAATACCATATCAGACTCACAGTGTACCTCCTACTCTTAAATATATCTGGAAGATATGATCCAAGTGTACATAAGTACACTAATGAGGTGTATCGTGCAAATAAAGTGCTCAGTGTCACCCTTCAGAAGACAGTGCTACTGACGTGCCTTCCAGGTACCACTGCAGCAATTGCATTTTGATGTCCTGCATTTTAGTCCAAACAAAGCTTGGAAAGTAAGGGTCACTTGGAAAGTTACAGATACTCACTGTTTTTTCCAACTCTTCTTCTGCAACGAGTAAATCTTCCTTATCTTCAACTTTCTCCTCTGGTTGCTTTGCAGGGGCTTTTGTCGTGGCTTTTGTCTCTGTAGCCGTGCCGGTACCCAGCGTTGGTGCTGTCGTTTTGCTAGCCGACGTTCTTTCCAGAGCTTCCTTGCGTCGCTTCTCTGTCTTTTCTAACCGCGCAAAAGCCTGCAGGATGGCCTCCATCTTACGCTCTTCTCGCGTCAGTTTCCTGGCTGCTGAGGGTGGCAGCTTGGTCTCGGCCTGGTTTTCTTCAGACTCTTCTGTTTCCAGTTGTGCTGAGGTGTTGTTGCTGGGGGTGTGCACTGGCGACGCTTCTGGGTTACTGGGGGAGTGGTGCATGGACTCTTCACCGTTGGTAGCTGGCAGAGGCTGAGCTTGATTCTGCGTCAAAGCAAGAACAAGTTTGTATAATCCAAAAACAAATATTACTCTGATATTAATACACAATATACAAAAAAATTTCTTCAAACTTTCAGACTGAAGAACAAATTTGAAAATTTCACAGGATTTAAATGAAAAAGTGCTTGACACTGCATGCACAAAATATCAGTGAGCGACCACAGGCCTGTACATACATTTCAAAAAGGCCTAATATATGTGATTTACGATGGTGGATAAAGATACCTGTGCATTATGAGCAGAGAGTGAGACCCTGAGAGGAGACACCATTCTCTTCTTGCTGAGGTTGGAGCCCAACGATAATGTGGAGGTGTCCTGCAGATGATTGCTGACGGGACTCTTTGCTGCTGTGACTTGACTGTTCTGCTTTCTCAAGTGGCGTTTCACAATGCAGTTTTTCTTGGAGCAGGCACAGAGTACTGGGTATGAACTTTTGAACAAAATGAAACAAGACGAACTTGTCAATCCTAGTAAATCTTTTTTTAAAAAGGAGAGGGGTGGGGTGGAATGTGTGCCTAAATAACGTCAACTATCATGTATATTATTGCATGCAACTTGGAATTTAGAGAAAACAAGGAACTTCCAAACCATACACGACTTATTAAGGTGTTTTTCAATTTGTAATGGTCCTAATGAAAATTAAATAATAAAGAACAAAAATAATCAGGCCACGACGAATCGCCTGTCAAAGTTTCATTCAGGCAGTTAAAATTCTACCAGCTGTGCCCGGGCAAGTCCAGAAAAGCTGACGTCTTTTCTGTCGTCACAAAACATCTTTCAATAACTTTTTTCTCACATTAAACTGCTTGTTTTTACACGTTTTTCCTACTTACATTTGGAATGGTTGAAAAGAAACTTCAGTTATTTTCACGAGTTCCCATTCACGTTTCGCTGTCGCAGTGGTGAAAACACGTGCGCAAAACTCAATGCATTAAGTGAAGCTGCACTGGTTCCCGCCGAGCTGTGCCCATGCAAAAGAACGCGTGATGGAAATATAGGAACGTGAACCAGTCTATACATGCACTGTACGTCCCGGTCGATTACAGCCGTACACACATGCAACCCTAAAGCTGCAGGTCAAAAACATCGACGTTGCAAGAGGTTTTCTGCAAGTTAATTACAGAACTTGGTCTCTTATTTATATATGTAATTTTTGTGCTCATGAGTTTAACTCGAAGTTCTTTTGCTTGTACTTCAAGCGAGCATGTTTCAACAAATTTCCTGCTGCGGCACAAGATTTATCGCCCGCTGGTCTGGATGCATCATGCATGCTTACCACGCGATACACGGACATTGTTGGCTAGTTTGCCATCCTGATTGCCCGAGTAGCACTGAGTGAATTGTCCATAATTCTTGTAAATTGTCAACTGTAGAAATTTTACATAGATTAAGACAAGCATTCATCACTTTTTGAGGTAATTTGGAAGCTCTCATTCCCAGTCATGCCATTCAATCATCACAAAAAATTTCCCCCCCAAAAATAAAAATTCCTGACCCACTGACCCAATTTTTGAGAGGCATGTAATCAGCACAACTTTTTTTTTTTGCCCAAATAAAAGACTGCGTACCGTGCAGCTGGCTTAAGTTAAATTACCATGATAATCATGGATTCCGAGAAATCTTGGGCAAGTGTTGACCCAATTCGGACAAGCAAATTTATGGCATGGCACGCTAAAAAAAATTGTCATGGCCTGACGTGCTCTTATTCCTAGATATAAAATGTAGCCAAAGAATCTGGTAGGACATCATACAGCTTCAACAGGGGAACAGTAAATTAAACAATGGAATATAGCAAAACTGAAATAAAACTGTCAACAATTCAAAGGCAAACTGTGTAGAAGGAAATAAAATGAATGGATAAATGAGCTTTTATTTATAAACTGACCTTGCCAAATTAACTACACATCTACATTTCCTGGTTCTTACTCTTACTGTACTGAACCTCCAAGCGTTTCAGGCCAGCATATAAAAATACACTGTTTATGTGAATGATGCCATTTTTGGAACCAGAAACCTTGGTCTGTTTCATCGTTTGACTCACCAGTCCATGTAATTGAAGTCAAACCCAATAGTAACCTCTGTCTTCTTTGAAATGTTCAGTAGCGCAAACAAGCAGAAGTGAAGCATGTTGTTCTCAACGTAGTGCCGCACCTCGGCATTTGGAGAACAGGATCTCCTCACAAAGCGGGCGGCATTTCCATAGTTCCGTGCATCGATACAGATATCCACATTGTTGAATTTGGAATAGAACAACACGTATGGGTAATGCCTAAAAGACAGAAGTAAGTACTATTTCAGCAAATTTTACAAATTTAGTAACAAAATTGAAATGGAATTTTTGTACATTGTCATTCTTATGATTTTCATCTTCACACATGTGCTCACTAAAATAATTAGTCATAACTTATTTATAGCACAAAAAGCATATACATGTATGCTTAAATATGATGCCAATGCTAAACAAACACATCAAGAAAAAGAATGCTGAATGAGCAGCATAACCACAGAAATGCATATTTCAATCTGAAATATGTCATTGAGAACTTATGCATATTTGTATCTTAACAGGGGAAATTTGAGATGAACAATTTAGATAGAAATTGGTACAAATTCAAACTTAAGAAATCAACACTGAGCAACAATTTTTTCTTTCTGACATATCTCAATACAAAGTACAAGGTTTTCGGTGTTAATTTGAAGTATTTATGTCCATTTATTTCCGGGTCAATCACAGAAAGCACTTCACAATTCTTACATTCATGTTATAACTTGTGTTATTTTAGTGATGATATCAGTAGAGTAAAAAAACAACAACAAAGGATATGCATGAAGAGAGACTGTTAATGAAGATAGGCTAATGTGTACTTACCGCTTAAAGAATGCCTTGTCTCCTTCTAACTGTTCCTTGAGCATCACTTTACCCAAGTACTCAATGATGAAGTCATTACTTTGGAGGCTCTCGGAAGCAGCAATTCCCACACTGGATGCGTTCCTCCCAAACCTATTCAGACTCACTAAGGGGTTGGTGGGCTTGGGTAGATCAGTGAGGGCAAATGGCAATGGGTCTGGTTTTCCTCCCTTAGCACGGGATGCAATGATGTGTTGAATATCGGCACTATACTGGTTGCAGGCAGCTTCCTCGTACCTGTCATGTGTCTCTCTGTAAGGACCAGCATAGAAATAACTTGCCTCTGCATCCTAGCAGCAATACCTCATGATTAAACATTTCCAGCCTCCACTGGTATTCAGGCCTTGAACTTCGAATTTAAAACCTGGTGATCGCAGATCAAACCAGTTGAATGTAACACAAAAACAGACACTATCCAGTGAGAGGTAATGCAGAACTATTAGTTACTTTGCTGCTTTAAATGTACATTCTCCAGAGCAAAACTCACCCTTTGAACAAAAAACTTTTTACACTTTATTTGGAATTTTGATATCAACTCAGCATTCAGCTTTGTGCTAACACTTTTTCTCCCACAGCAACTCACCAAGAGTGAAAGAGGAAATGTCAATGTTGCAACCTCTTTGAACACAGAAGAGCATATTGGCAACTATAAAAAACACAAACTGAATCGACCCCTAGCATTGAGAATTCTCAATGTACTTCAACCTATTTCCCGTAACAGGTGCTTTGGACTGATTTTCCAATTTTACCCAAGAGAGAGTGTGTTATTTCTGGCCAGTGAATACATTCAAGAAATGGTCGTGTGGATATTACTAGTCCCCAATTAGGCTATGACTCACTCTGAATCATTCCAGGCTGGCATGGCCTCCTCATCCATGATGTCAAGTTCTACAGGAGCAGTTATATCCTCAGACTTGTTGCACTTCTTGCTGTGGCGCTTCTATTTATTGGTGCAAATTTATTCAGAATACAAGTGGGAACTAGTTACAATGAAACAGTGCACTGGAAAATTGGGCTATTATTTCCCTTTTTGGAATATGTAAAAATAAAAAAGGACTTGGCATGTTTTAGTCACCTTCATTTTATTACCAAATTATGTATTTCATTGTAAGTTGAGATAAAATCAGATTAAGACTTTTACTGTAAATTGTTTCACATATTAAAAAGCTGGTCCATCCATCTCACTTTTAAGGCCAAACTTTAATAACGATACTTGCATTGTTATGCTTAATCTTAGTTTTTTAACAAGCTACAAAGTTCACTCAAACCCTAACAGTCCTCAATTCTTCACCTGTTGGAGGACTGAGGGTTAGGGTTAATAATGAATGTTGTTATACATAAGAGCACAACATATTAACCAAATCAATTCTGCATGTAATGTAATGTAATGTAAGAAAGTACACTTTTAATTATCAGGCATATCCCTGCATTGTTGCAGTTCACAATACAGAGAGCCAAGTTCTATTTTCTGCACACACATACATGTACAAACCACACCACATAGGTTGTGATTTGTGGATGTAATTTCTATTGGCACAGGCATAGCATTTTCCCCTCGATCTACCACAGGGTTTTTTTTGTGGGTTAAACATCCTGTTTCACTATCCAAATGTGATTGTAATATTTCACAGAAGCGCTCTTTCCACACACATGGAAGCACGCAAGTACTCAATGAACTATTCAGTACAGCCACATGTACATCAACTGTTAGGGGCTCTCATTTCAATGACAGAATAGGTCAGTGAAACGAAAAGTGGAATCTTATTGTGGTTCATTGGAATATTACTACTGCTGTGAACCTGGAATTTTTGTATCAAAAACAAAGCATCCACTGTATTTTAAAGTGATTCACTATTGTTTTCATTAGTATTTTGCTGAAATGAACAGTGTAGACAGTGTTGTGACTGAGCGAATGATCGAATTTAACCCTAAGCCCCCAGGCCTTTTTACCAGGAACCCTCCTGAATCCCCCGATTTTCAACATTAAAAAAATTGCATTCGGCCCAAATCCTCCAAAATTTCTTGAAAATGTCATTTGGAGATGTGCCTAACTGCCCAAATCTTTCAAAATCCTGCGGCAATTCCTATCATTATGTTGAGGCAGTGTGAATGGCATTCTTGAGCAGTGCAGTTGATTCAAAAGAAATATCAGGCTGATTTTGTGCTTGACTAAGCACAGACAACATAAGGTCTAATCCTAGACTTTCATCCTACGAAATCAGCCATGCACTTTTGCCATACACCCTCGGTTAACGTTAATCAACTTTCCATCAGATTTTCCCAAATGAATTCTGCTGGTCACCATCTGAATATATCTGCTATAAATTTAAAAGCCTTTCAGTCACTCCAAAAATAAAAATTCCAAGAGAAATTTGTCTCTTCCAGATGAAACGAGGGAATGCCCAGGTATTTGGTCATTTCTTACCTTTCTCTTTTTATGATGTTTGTCTTCCTCTTTTTCCTTGGATCGTTTCTTCTTTTTCTTCTTCATCTTCTTGTGCTTACTGTGAGTGGTCAGTGTCAGGCTTGTGGGAGAGTTAGAAATGGCTGTGTATGTTGCTCCGGCGCCTACTGACACAGCTGGAACCTCATCGACACTGTCACTCGAGGAGTCATCTGTGTCAAGTTAAACAGTAATTGACTACAGGTCAACTCTATGCAATGTGCTATCAAAACAACTACAGGAGTACTTCTGACAGTGTGTAACAAGTACTTTTGAACACGGCAATTGCAACAATTCAAAAACAAACTCAATTATACCATTCAAATTTACAATTTTTCTTTTCCATTTTGTTTTGTGAATGTGACTTACTCCAAGAAAGAGTTATGACCCCTTTTACAGGCATGCAACTTGGACTAAGGAAAGACTTTGTACGGTGTTTTCCAATTTTCAATGGCATGAGTGTGAAGTGAAAAACAAGGAAATCAGCTGATCAAAGGAAAAGTTGCACGCCTACTTTTAGAGGGCATCACTTTGATTTGGTTCTGAGAACAGTACAGTCGTAGCGATCTCACCTGACATGGCTGCACGTTTCTTGCTCTGGAGTGCAACAGCTCGTTGCTTGTCCACTTCACGCGGCTGACATCTCTCACAATAGAATGTCTCAGGGATACTGTCCCTCTCAAGACCCATACAGTCCACATGCTGCCAGACACAGCAACGGTCACAGCAGATCATGTAGCCATCATCATGATCGAAGTTGCTGAGGAAGGGAGGGCAATCACGATTATCGGAATGAAATTGGAAACAAGTGGTCCACTTAACAGTTCAGACGATAGATTTCAAACATTAAATACTCTGAATCAGAAATAATAGAATCTAAGAGATTTCACGAGGTAACTTGACTGCAGCAAACAGCAAGCTTAAAAGAGATCACTTGTGTATCCATTATATATTGTCTAGCTTCACAAACCTTTTATAGAATCATTTAATCCTTTTGAGTTTCACAGGTCAAAGAACCTAAGAACACGTTCTGCAGATTTTTTTGACTTGAGGATCAATCTACACATCTGCACTGTTTCCTTGTCTTCTTTCCGATGAAGTTCTGGATGCCAACTTTGAGCCCTCTTTTGATCACCCCAAAAGACATGAACAAGAATCACAATGCACTGTTCTACCTAGTGTTTTGCTTCAAAGAGGCCACATTTTTTATTTTATGGGGGGAACACTGGTATCATATCCTGCAGTTCAGCATTTGGGATTTCAAGGTATTCATGGTGACAGACAACTAAGGTGGAAAGCTTGCGGTAGCACCATGCAAGTATACAATCTCTTTGTGAGTCTGTATGGTTCTGAAAAGAACTGTGAACCACGGTTCTTTTCAGAACCATACAGACTCACAAAGAGATCGTATCCTTGCATGGTGCTACTGCAAGCTTTCCACTTTAGTTCAGCATTTGTTGACAGCCTCATATACACACATTTTGTCAGGCGTCCTCATCCAAATTCAAATTGAAATCCAAGAATGTCCAGACTGCTTAGTCCATATGAAAAGTCATTACCCTATTCAATCATTTTCTGGTAAACTCTAAAGTAAATTGCCTCTATTGAAATGTTTGCCCAGAGTACGTTATTTCCACTCAAATGAAGTGAATTTAAATCTTAATTCTATTCAAGGAAAATTATGGTGTAAATCGTGGTACAGCAAAAAAATTATCCTCTTCCCTAACATACTCTATTTAAAAGGAATGCCCTGAAGTTTTCTTTTTTTTTTCAGGGGGAGGGAATGATTGGAATAAAACTGGAAATAAAGGGAGAAATACAAATACAAATGTGTCTACAACAGTTTGATTGTGGTGCAATAAAGGCTCAACTGACTCGTTTATGCAAAAAAACTAGTATCCTATAAAAGTGTTGTTCCTTTCATGTAACACAAATGTCGCCTGACCTTTCTTGCTGTTACATGTATATTTAACCCTAACAGTCCTCAGTCCTCCAACAGGTGAAGGATTGAGGACTGTTAGGGTTAATCAGTTAACACTCAGCTTCACAACAAATCAGTATAAGAGCCCCCCCCCAAATCTATCTACACCCTACTTTCAGATGGCATATTAACAGGAAGCAGGACTACAGTGTTCTAGGGGTTTTTTTGCCTCAAGTACTTTTGTTTACATCTACACATAAACCCATGCATACAGAGGTTCTAGCATAACCTGCTTTAATTTGTATTTTAGCCACATATAAAACAAGCAAGGCTAACTGTGGCATGAATGTTTGATTTGAGTGAAGTTTGTTTTTGATTGGTTGAACTTCTAAACCTTTTGAGTTCAAACTTTTTTCAACTGGAAAAACCACTTACAGTTTCAAACAGCAGTTTTTCCAAGAACTAGCTTTTCTAAAACAATTTATGCGTTAAATAAAAATCAGCAGAAACCGATCAGGAGTAGCATACACTGTACGTTCATATTTTTGGCTAGTAACCTAATTCCGCCGAGCCAACATTTATGTGTTCAGCAAACTCTGTGGCTACCACAGAATTCTGCATATGTCATCTATGGGTACATCAAGTTCTCAGCGAAGGACAAATACCACAAGCTTCTCATTTCTAGTTGGGAACTTTCAGCACAAACTTCCAAAGCACAAATTGTCACTGCATCAGGGTTAACCACTGGATATTAGATTTCGTACATGCAAGACTTAATGCTGGTCGGGACACAACGCTCATCTGATCTCCTTCACAAGTGTTGAAAACCCCTTCAACCCCAGCTAGACGTAATAAAAATTGCAGCTGCGATCAGAGGTTGAACATTTTCAATTTAACAGTCCACAAATGTGGCACTGGCTGCCTACAGAAAACCTGATGGGGGTTATGTGCAAGGCTAAACTCTTCACAATAATCCACACATTCATGTACGTGTATCTGACCCCCTAAAAAAGTGAACTCACCATATGCATCTGGTTACCCCTTCGTCTTTGCTTTCTGCTGGCTCTGGAGAACTTACAGTGACCTTCACCTCAAGCTTCAAAGGGTCATCAAATATCCCGTTTACTTTGGTTGCTACTGGGGAGACTATGGGGACTGGAGAAGGTGACTCAGGTGGGGTAGGAGGAGGGGGCGCACCATAATTATGATCCTACATGCAGCAAACAAAGGAAACCAGTGTTTTGAACTCTGGCACAGCTGTCTTAGGTAAAGGATATTTCACTAATATGGCATACAATATCTAATGAGTTACTTTTTACCAAGCAAAGAAAACATTATTTGGCATTAATTATTTAACAATATGTATCACTTTGCTAGACTAAAAGTCAAAACTTGAATGATTACAATTCAGTTTTTTCTTTTTTCCTTTAGTACCTTCATCAAACTAACATGCTTCTATAAACTGATTAATTCCTAGTTTGATTAGCACCATAAAAATATCCATATAAGTTCTCATTTTTGAACACTCGATCAAGCCCCATACATTCAAATCTCATAATATTGCAAGATACTTCAAGCAGCAAGTCTTTTACTGCCTGCATAAGAGTGTATTGTACCTGATAAGGTAAACCAATATAATGGGTGGTTGCATGAGCCGTGTGTGTTGGGTGACTGGTGACATCTCCTGTTGCCACGGGTTGTTCTACTGGTTCGGGACTGCAGTGGTGTATAAAAGAAAGAAAAACAAAATTGCTAAGAGAACAACGGCCAGTGAAATTGATAATATATTAAAGCAACTGCCAAGATAACTTCTATTTTATGGGGATGAATTTTCATAGACAAGGAAGGAAGTTCAATGTCAATGAACTACAGTCAGTGAGCAAATATCCATAAATTTTGTTTCTCGTTTCGTTGATCAAAGTTCAAAGTTGAAAGGATGAGAATGTGGTTTAACATGTTATAGAAATTACTGACATTTCGAACTGTTACTATCAAATATAAAAATTCACCTGGAAAAAGAAGCAATGAATACAAAGTGGCTTTTAAAACCAAAAGCACATTACAATACAAACATGAGGGGAGTGATAGGTGCCAACACACCAGTGCCACAAGCAGAACGTTTGTCTAAACAGAAAATAAAAATGGTGGCAGTTGTACGGTGTTAAACCTTACCATCCTCAAACCTCCGACATCCTCTGGGTGGTTTTGGAAGAGTTTGGAGGAATAAAGTGTAGCTGATTGTGAAAGATGCAATGTGTCATGATTGCGGGTTAGACCCTGTGATATTTACGCTCAGCTTTGCATAAATTCATGTGTAGATTATACAGAAAATCATTAACATACTGTTCCATAATATTGTTCTTTCTACCTCCATACAGCAAGAACTGCTTAAGGATTCTGAAGGAGTGAGGCAGTGGGCAACCTTCAAGGGGCCATATTCAAGACATTTTGGCAGACTGAGGCTGAATGCAATCAGTGGGAATTTTCTGCACAGATAATCAGAAGATTTTGAAGGATTAAAGTCGGTGCCTCGCAAAAAGGCCTAGGGGGTATGGTTAAAATGTCTCCCTGCTACACAGAGGACAAGAACACAAACACTTCCTGGCTCACTACTTACTCAGAACCTGCAGCCATGGCAGCATAGTTCTTGTCTGTCAATGCTCCGTCATATACTAGTATGTTACTCATTACGCAGTAGTTAACATGGGGCTAAGTTGTCGGGGATGCAGGGCAGCTGTTGTCCAAGGGACGCTGCACTTTGCATACATGGCAAGTGCTTTGTCCTCAGGACCCTGGGATAAAAAAAGTAAAAGCAATGTATTGATATACATGAAATGTACAAATAGATATTTCCATCAATAATTATCTTTCACCTCCCCATAAACAAAACAAAACAGAAAACAATAAAAACTTTCCCGAAACAAACAAACAAACAAACAAACAAACAACCAAACAAACAACCCAACAAACAAACAAAAGAAAAACAAACTGAAACAAAACTATATAAAGTACAATTTTCAAAGATATAATCTGCAAGTAAATGCAGCATAACCAACTTCAACACTTAACAACAGATTACTTTGTGTGTTGACAATACACGGCAAGACCAACAACCAGGGAAAAATTATCTTTCTTGTAATGCCTGTGCAACACTTTTGGCATGAAAACTGTAAAATAACACAACAGCACGCATACCTCTACTTAAAAATATGACACAACTTTACCACGTTGGCTGTAGCATTATGCATTGTACACGTATGCAAGTACATGTACATACATGTGCATGTACATCTCAGCCTACCAAGACCATGTTGTCATACCTGCCAACAATGAAAACTCAGAAATTGGAACCCATATTTTTCGAGCCCATAGCAAAAAATGCTACTTGCATGTACATGTACATGAACGCACCTGTATGTATGTTTAAATGCAATTGCTTGACAGCAAATAATGACCCCCTTTTTCTGCAAAATATGCTTCTCTTGCCAGGACTTATTTTATTCCCTTTCCATGGAAATCAAAATGCTTCGATTTTAGGCCTTTGAAAACTTGAAAATCGGAACAGTTGTGATTAAATCAGAATACTTGGCAGGTTATGTGTTGTGCTGATGTGTCAAAATATGTACGCGTACCGAAGGTAATACATTTTTACACACTGTTTGCTCAATTTGGTCCCTAAGCAATAGACATTGCAAATGATATGCATGCACATGCAACACATTTCATGTTATGTATCTTCAAATTGCCAAATCATGAACAATGTGACTTTTGAAGGCCTGTTCATTATCTTAAATTAATTGGATTTGCAAATGTTATTTGATAAGCCAATACAGTAACTTTTACAACTGTGTGTAAATGACCTGTACAATGATCATGTGTTTATAATTAAAAATAAAAACAATGTTGAGAAAATTGGTAAAGACATGCACTGTTAAAGTCTTTCTGATCTAAACTTACACGTATATGTACAAGCATACCTCATACATGTACATTGATCAGCAATTTTCAGTGTGTATACAGATTAATTTCCTGCTGCAGTTGTAATTTGCAAGGCCTCTACAAAAAAGGGAAAGAAAAAATCCCACATTTTGGGTAACAAACCTTCAAAAATGTGTATATCATAATCTGAGAATGACAAACACCTGTATAGTTCCATAAACAGTCATTGGTATTAATCCTTACTGTTTCTACATGTATACAAACAGCAATACAGCAAATAGCCCCATGACAAGATCGAGCACAATGTGAGCACTTATCAAGCAGTGAGTCACTGCCTTTGTTCGAAATATTCCCTGTAAACCCATTATGCCAATTAGAATTTAGTGAAGAAATTTTCCATTAAAACAGCACTGTGCATAGTACACAAAGACTGTAGATACAAGTATTGACACACAATGGAACGATATTTCTAGACAATGCTTCAGATAATTTTTCTAATTAACTGGGGTAAAGTATGTTGTAAAATACAACAACTATATATATGAACATGGAGGCTGATGTTAAACACATGAAGCCTAAAATAGTTGTGCATCTACATGTACATATACATGTACATACATGCACAAACCGCCGACGTGATTTGTGTGTGGACGCAATACTGCCTTGAAGGCAGCCTTTCAAATGCAAATGCAGCCTCTCCTACGACCTGTTAAATGTTTTGTCCACGTACGTGCAGATGTACAATTACAGGTTATATGTATTTTTTACTTAATGAACATGTCCATGTGCATGATGATCTCAAGTTCAAGTATAATATTTTATACGCAACTATGTGGACACATTTTGGTGTTACACATCATGGTCTGGTAACTGATCACATACATACATGTACTTATATACATTTTTATCATCATACTACTGTACATGTACATGTATATGTACTAGGCCTGCTTTACAACACTACTGGTACTTACATGCCCCATAATTCACATGGTCACAGGGTAAATATTTCTACTGAACACAAACAAAAACATATGTTACACTTATGAATCGTGCATTTTACATCTTGAAAAAAAAGTTATGCATGGACACCTTAATTTCATTCAATAGAAGATGTGGGGATTTAGCCACACAATAGTTCTGTACAGGCTGACTATAATCGATGATTTAAAACCCAAACTGCTTTGTTTATAGTGGACTCCGATGGATAAACTGTCAAATTATTGATGGCATCACAGCGATTGCTCTCTCCAGACAATAGAAACAACATGTGTGATAGCATAATGTGTGATTCTGTTAAACGGTGTATTACTACGTGTACATTTACATGTACATACACATATGTAGTAACACACCATGTGTTCTATTTACACTGTAATCTATGCATTCTATGACTGAATCTCCTGGTTGTCCTACATGGGAACGTAAGTGTACCACCAGGACACTGGTTATCACAACGCTAAAGAAAAAGTGACATTAAGACAAATGAAAAACCACAATACTTAAACACGATTGTAAGCACAATAATGTAATATACATTACTACATGTACATGTATTTCTTCACAAGATGTAATACTGGCTGCATGCTGTTGCTATGAAACTGACAGTACAGTATCCATTACAGATTCATGGAGTCAAGTATCGTACATACATGTATAATGTACATGTCCCTGTATTGCATACATGTACACATGGCAAGGAAGAAATTGAAAATGGATCTGGATAGTTATGATGCAATTACATGTACAATTATAGCAAACCCTCCTGTATTTTATAAAATAGAATTTAATAAACAGTGTAAAGACAACATCAATCAATTTAAATTGTGACCAAGCATACAAGGTATACATGTATGTACATGTAATTAATATAATGTACGTGTACACCTATGTACGTGCCTGTACAGTGGGAACATGCAACTCATGCCCAGGTCACCTTGTGCCTACCTTTGTAAAGGGGTTGCTTGTATCCAAGGATAGGAGTGTCCAGGCACATTCTGGACACACTATTAAGGCCATTATGAACACCTTGTTTAGTTGTATACACGTCTACATGTATTTATGCATCTAAAAGTACAAAAATCTTAGAAACTTTAATGCCCTGTTTTCCAGTGTAAGGCAAAATGCAGACACTCGTTTTCAAATGCTGACTAAGACATCTTTTTGATTGATGTACATCAATGTAAAACTATCCTCAAAAGAGGCAAGTGTAATATGTCTCCTATTTCTTCTTTTGGCAGTAAAGACTATTATTGGATTGTACATGTACTTGTTCTTAGTTGTTAAAAATAATAAATTTTTAAAATGCAGACATGTACATGTAATTTCCTTTATCTGCAGTTTGGCAGTGCCATTTAGGTTTTTTAAATACAATTCATTTTTCCCTTGTCCAAAGTTTTGTCAAGCAGCCAAAATCATTTCCACATGTACTTTAAAAACTATTTTACTTGGAATCATTAGCTTTATACCATGTCCTTAGGAGTAACTGCTCTATATACAGGCAATGCCATTAGCCTGTAATCTTTCATATAGTCTGTTCATGGTTCATCACAGAACACTAAACTCATTTAAATTTGACAGGGACATCAAACTGTCGCCTTTAATACATACATGTTCAGGTATTTTGACCTGTAAAATGGTACTCATAATCACAAATGATTCAGATCACTGACTTGATCAGTGGATGGGCTGTAAAGAGACTACGGCAGCACAAGATGCACCTTTTGACTGATTAGAAGAGGTCTTGGGCCAACATCCAAAAGATAAGCAAAGTTGTGAACTTTAAAATACCAGTCTACAGAACACAGCTACACTGGGTCTGGATGTACTTTACGAAACTTCATTTTGTTTATTACTCAGGTGACAAAACAGTGCTGTACAGAGAAAATTAAAATGAGGAGCCACTGGCTCGTAGAAAAACAAAGTTTGGCGCCAGGTCGATTTTTGTACATGCTGTACTCACATTTGCAAAATACACAAGTTAGGCCTACAACATGTACAAAACCTGACAAAACACACAGAAACATTATTCTGTCAGTTATTCGCAGGACAGAAAGGCTTTGGATTTTGTGCTTGTGGAATAAATAAAAAATGGCACCCATGTTGTATGAAAAAAAGGCTGAAAGAAAAGACAAAGCATGTTTGTTCTCTTACATTCGAGCATTTCGTACCCGGGACCGGACCGGCACATGTTCATGCATAGACACTATGAACATGATGAACATCTAACAAAAGAAACACAGCGCAATAACAATGGACGCTCATTGTTAGTGCACTGTGTTTCTTTTGTTAGATGTTCGTAGTGAGATAGCTTGTGCATCTGCTAATGAATACGTGCAACAACATCTCAGCTCCCCATACACACTCTTTACGGCATGCGACCACAAACCAGTCGACTCGGGTACCTAGTACCTGTACGTGCATGTATGTACCTACATGTAGCTACGCTCCAGTTAACGTGGGCTCATGCTGTGTACGTAGTAAGATGGAGAAAGACCGCGTGGTCATACAGAGACACATCACTCGATGATGTAGAAGAAAACTGAGTAACGATTGTTCGTGAAATATGACTGACAAGGTGGGCGACTAACGGGCACAAATCATGGTTGCCATTGGCGATAAGAATCAAACATTTGGCCGCACGTCATAATATTTTTAGGGGCAAATGCGACTGTTTTGGTTTCACTGTACAGTGCTGACAAAAATACTTCTCAGTACACCTCAATGTGGTTATAAATGACTTTTTCAAATTTGCAGCTGTTTAATCATGTTAATGTTGACTTAGGTATGGGTTGAATTGAGTGTGACTATGAGTTGACCTCATTACTATGATCTGTTGAACTGGGTACAGGTTGACGAAGGCATTAAATTTTGGATACGAGTTAACGAAGGTACAAATTGACCTGCTGTAGGTATTTTCTTTTTTCCATGTTTTCTTTATAGCTCTTTTACCTTCCCTTGTCCTGCTAAATTTGAAAAACTTAGCCAGATTGTAAACAATGTGGTTTAAACATTTCCCCTTTTATGTGTGATTTGGAAAAACATTTTCAAAGAAAAAAGGTTGGAAAACCTATTTTGCAACTTCCATTGTGAAGTACACAAAACAGTTATTTGCATACATGACCAGTGGAAATACTTCAGGCACTAGTTCCTCTGTTCATCATCTGATAATGTACATATGTACATGTATAGACCCCTGCGAGTACGTAACCGGTACACTGAAAGCAAAAATGGAGAGGAATGCTGTATCAGACCATTACACATTTTGAGTGTCGTAGCCACTACAATTTCAAATGGGAAGTCTGTTAACTTAAGGAGGATTTTTGGCAAAGGTCCAAGGAAGGGGCAGAAATAAAGAAGGAAAAAAACCAGTAACAGCCTTTAGCACACAGTGTCATCAACATCGGCATACCAACACCCAATGAAAAGTTACATAAATATACGAGAAAGCATACCAAAACAAGCAATCTGCTGCCGTACATATTACTTGTTCAAAGTGCTTACAACTTTCACAGATATACAGGTAAGACTGACTTTCTTCCTGTCTGGTCCGTACACGTAGCATGCAAATGTTTTAATATCCTTGGACAATCAACGGAAGGCTATTTGGCTTACTGAAATATGCAGAATGAGGCTGCTCTCTGCAGGCAGGTTGGGCAAACTTCTTTGTATTTATATACCCATACGCTCATATCACTCCAATATTGTGATGCTCCAACATGTCTGTTAAGCGCAATCTTGACTCTTACACAACTTTACTGTAGTCCCTCCTGACATGCCTGAGTTGATTATCAGGTCGGGAACCAAACATGACAATCTAGCAATGACGCTCAACCATGCATATGCTGCGTGATTGTGCAACGATGACGTAATTTCTGAGCTACTTTAGATCATGGTTTACAGATGACTTCAATCTCTTTATTGGCCGAAAACTTCAATACAAAGAGCTACACGTATGATTGCTCAAACTTACAGGAAACATGTTATCCAAGATCTCAGTGAAACTTTTCTCTTATTTGAAATTTCTAAAAGCGGATCAAGGAGATTTTTTGGTCAAATCTTGCACTGGAGGTGTTGAATTTGTATCGGTGGCGAATTCTGCAAAAAAAATAAAGTTTTGCAGAAGCTTACTTTAAGCATGAAAATTTTGCCATTAAAAATCTCCATTAATTTACCATGGCAAATTTTATGACTACCTTAGTAATTATCCAAAATAGTCATCACAAACACAAATAGTTTTGCCATAGACTCTAACGGTAACAGCCGTGGTTGTCTCGTTATTTTCCCAAAATCTTACGAGAAAAATTACATCATTATCACATGACGTGATAAAAATGATGTCATTGTCGTTTGAGCAAGTGACGTGAGCAGAAACTAGCGGCATTGCTAGTATATGTGGTTTGGTCCTCGACCTGATTTTTATGAATGGATTTTATTCAAACATGTCAAAGGCAAATCAACTCAGTAGGCCCTTATGGAGTAGGCCTAGGAATAGGCCTACATAAATTTGAGAAAGTTTCAAGACCGCTCATGTGCAATGGCAATATGGATATCCTTCCCTCAAAGTCAATTGACATGATTAACTTCAAAGTTCAACATGTTCAAGTTCACAGCCAACAGCCTAGGGAAAGTTAATTCACTGAATTCTGTAACTGGCAAACATGGCTAATGTAAAACCAAGACAGGTCACAAATTAGCCCCACTAGTGTGGCACGGACTCTCACTCCCGATCCATCCTTCACGGACTCTCACTCCCGATCCATCCTTAAGGATGGATCGGGAGTGAGAGTCCGTGCCACACTAGTAGTGGGGCGAGTCACAAATATGACTTTTCCTTCATGCCATGTATAGAGCTAGAAGTCGAGTGGGTAAGAAAGATGGCTGACCAAACATGCCAAACCACTGATCCAAGGCCTAGGCCTAACTTCATCATTTTCATGAACTTGCCTTTATAAACAAGTCACATTACACTGGCACCCAAGCCACAATAAAACTGGGCTGCAGCACACTACAAACTCACCTCGTGAAAGTCATGTACAGCTATCTGATCTCCTGAGGTGGTGCGATAATGCATTTCACACGCTATCCATTCAAAATTGAATGCACGCAAAACGTCAAATAAAGGCGCTATGCGTCAACCTCATTCCTAAATTTGTGTACACTACAGTACCAGTGACTACATATACATGTACAGTACATGTACTTGTGCATGAACACTGCTGTCAAATTTCCTATTCAGTACGTGTATAACAGTACCAGCCAACATTAGCAGCGATTGTTACGTTCCCAATTCACAATACAACCTCCGTAATCTCCGGCAAATTTCATCGAGTGCTTGTAGACGCGGAAACGCACATTAACATTTGGTTCCACCAAAAGATGATAGAATATTTCCTGAGGCATACTCTAGATACATATCCACTACGGTACAATCACTATTATCACAGAAACCAGTCGCTTGAAAGTCACTCCATTCGCACAAATCCAGTAATACAAATAGCATTCACCAATGATTCATGATGGCGGCCATGAAAGAAGGAACGACGGGTTTCATGATTGGTTACACAGGGTCAAAATTTCTGCGTTGTGGTTCCGGCGACTGTTTACTGCAACTAAGTTGAAAAAGAGCGCCCATCCCACAACTTTGCACGCAAATCGATAAAAGACCCCGAAGATGTTTTTGTTTTGCTCTCAAGCAAAATGGAATACATATTTTTTCATGTAAACAGCGGCGTAGACAGAAATGCGAAGACGGGGATCCATACCCCGATGGAAGCAAATTGCGCCTCTGACGGTTCTCGCCGGCGCGCGCGGCGCCGCGGCCGCTGCAACACAGAACATGGAGTACGGTGGTATCCACGATCCTATAAGACTCAGAGTAAAGCTTAAAAAACACTCTATCCACAAATGTCTGACGAGCAAGTATTTGCGGATGGTAGTTGAAGTAGTAACAAGCCAACTTTCCATAATTTCTGTGTTTTTTGGATACGATAAATAAGAATAAAGCATGATATGAGAGAATTTTCGTTAGCGTGTACACGTATTATTAGCGTTCAATTTACGGAACATGGTTAATATTACGAGGGTTTAAATCTAGGATTATACAGCGCCGGGTACGCGTATCGTAAGATAAGAGGGCGCTATATAATTCGGGTAAAATCTTAGTACCCTCCTGTTATGTCTGCCCTGCTTCAACAAGGCTTAATAATTTAACCCACTTGCAAAGTTAATACATGTATATATACATGTACTTATACATTTGTATAATTGATCGAAATTCTTTGTCCTATAGTGACTGTCACCCTTTTCCTTACGTATTTTCTACGAGCCTACTTCTTAACAGGGAAAAGTTTTGGCTCTGTCTGATGAAATTTTGAAAAAATGATGCCAATCGACAGGAGACGGAATGAGCAACACGATTTTTTTAGCATATTGCACAGGATAATTAACTCGCGCATTGTAACTTGCGAAAATGCGCGTTATAACTTAGTCTTAGTATTATTATTATTAACACGAAGGCAAAGGTGGTGTGCAAGGAATTTCTGTTCCAAAGGATATTTTGCACACATCCGGACAGTACAGAATGTCAGGGACGTTGATTCGCCAAACAATGCGTGGGTGGGCGCGCGTGGCCGGCCCATACGAAAATCTTGGCCGTTTTCCAATACTCAACTTCGTCTCCATCTCAGGCTTCGTTCCCAAAACCAATCCCCAACTGTGGACCTGAAGCGTTTAAATTACATTGGATTACTCTAATTTTTGGCTTTCTTGCATCTTATTTGATGTTCTGTGGCACTATTAGACTGATCACTGCGCTTAAAGCTTCAAAGTCAGCTAAAAAAAAGTTGAAGCCTGAGACGGGGCCGAAGTTGAGTATTGGAAAAAGTCCCGACCTGAAGTGCACCCCCAATCGGCGACAGGAAGACAGGTGGTTACAAGCAGGTTCTTGCACGCGTTCTGCGTGTACGAAAAGACCATAGCCGGGATAAACTTGTTAAACTAAAAGAAAGTTAAGAAAGTTCAGTTAGTTGCGAAGAAACAAATTTCACACGAACTTCAACCTTTGACAAAAATTGCAGTTCTCCAACGGCTGATCGTACTATCATCATCGTGAAAGTACAGCAGAGGTGTAAGCGGCTCTCAGATTATGGTATCATTGGTTTGGACTGTGGGGCGGGGACTGGTCTGTATCATTAATTGGGTGCGTT